CCTCCATAAGGTATGGCATTCTTTAGTCCATTGCAACATAGCTTCGATTCTTACGTCCTTATAGGTAACGAGTCAAGTTTTTCTTATTATAACTTGATTGGGCGTGTTTATGGGGTTGTCTAGTGATGGAGGTGTTTGGGTCTCCCATCTTTATACGAAGGATTCACATTAATGGCTATAATCACATCTTCGTCTATGTTCAAAATTATTATAAGTTGCCACTTTCACCGTGGGGAATGGAGTAGATCCAGTTGGACGAGATTTATTCTTTTTCATTAATAGCTTGTCATTTTATTTAACCATGAGCAAGTATGAAATTGATTCGAATATTTTTTAAAATTATTTTTCGATATGCTATTTTAAGAGCATATTCGAGACATGAAAAGTAGAGAATATTTATTCAAGCATCAAGCACTCATGATCAATAACTCTTTTCCAAAATGTCAAGGGCCACAAAATCAAGTTTTGTGAGGTTTAATATCATAAAAATTCCATAATGCAAAGTATAATAATAATAATAAGAACTAAAAATAAAATATAATAATAAAATTTAAGTAAAAATAAACATAATAATAAAATTTAAACTTTTCGAGTAATATATATTAGATCACTAGATTCTATATATTAAATTATTTAAGTTTTTCAAATGTATATTTTATGTATCATTAAATTTAAAGTATATGATAAATTAGATACATACCTCTTAATAATCTAAATAATTTAGAACATTTGTGCGTAAAAAATCCAATGATTGAAACAAATGATTAAGTCTTTTGGTAGATACATATCTCATGGTCTATTATCTCGATTGATTAGACCTTCGTGTTGATAACATGTTATAAAAGAAATAGTTACAATAGTAGAATTAAAGAGAAAGATGATAGAAAAATGAATTTACTATAAAATAAAGTGAATATAAAAGATAACAACTTCAAATAATCTCTTGATCCCTACAAAATACTTGTACACAAACTAATGAACAATCGAGCTTATTTATAGGCTTCAAAATTATGAAGAGAATTGAAATGGACTATAAACCATTAAAAGATACATAAATAATTGAATAAATTACATCATCCTTTCAATTTCTCATATTGAATGGTGAATTGAATCACATGAGTAGTAAGAATATGAAATAGACATTCAATATTTCATAACACGAAAAATACTTTGAGTTTGTTGACTATTATTATTACTTTATATATATATATTAGAGTGATGCATCGTTACATCATAAAATTACGGTAAACAAGAGTGGATGGTTGGTCAAGAAAAGAAAACTTAATATACCCCTTAATGAACGCAAAAGTTTTGTCGTTATGGTTTATCCGTGATTGTGATTATGATTTTTTTTTTTATCATTATGATTATATTAAATAAAAAGAAACAAAAAGGCATGGGTTTTTTTGAACAATAATTAATGTTCATAAACTAGTCACATGCCTAAAATTATTGTTCACTTGATGACAATTTAAGTAATTTTTGTGTGTGATTTTTTTTTTTTGGTGAATTTTTGCGTGCTTAAGGCATTGATATGCAAATTTAACATTTTTTTTTCTATTTTTGTCCCTCATGTTGTAACATTTTTTTTTCAATTCTTAACTTTCATTTTTCTTTCAATTTCATGCAATGTGTGTGTGTATATATACATATACTCGTCTTTTTATATTTTAAAATTAACATATACTTCAGTTTATATTATTCTCATTATTTAAACTTCATCTTTGAATTTGTCATTTTTTTTTATGAAAATTCTCATCCAATTAATTTTTTTTATATAAAATTTTATTTATTTATAAATATAATTTATTTTTCTCTATGTTTGAATTTTAGAATAAAATTCTAAAAAAATGATTGTTTTTTCTTTTTTAAAAAATAAATTGGTATAATATATATCATGAATACTTAGAATTTTTAAATGATAGTTTCATATATATATATATATATATATATATATATATATATATATATATAATTATTTTATTCTAAAATGCTAAAAATGTATTTTATATAATTTGTCTCAGTTCACTAGATATGATTAAGACGTATAAAAAATAATTATTGAATAATTGTTTTTATTAAAAATTAACTATACATCTTCCAAAATAATACAAATTATTTGCTATGAATTTTTTTAACATTATAGAATCAATTTATTTTAAATAAAATAAATTTTTAAAGAAATCAACTAATTATTCGAATACAATTTTTTATGCTAATATTATTGATTATTTTGTAAATAAACATATATTAATCAAATAAATATACTTTTAAAAAATAATATTCTCACTAACATTAAATAAGAATAAAATTTTATTTTTTTATTGGTTAATTTTTATGTAAGTCTATACATTAATTGTAACTTTATGTTTTGGATATATTTTTATAAAAAATATATAAAGTATTTGTTTTTGAATTCTTAATTAACATTTTAGATTTAAATTATTACAAGTTTTTATTTAAGAATCCATGAATAAAGAAGAATAAATCGTGTTTTTTTTTAAGTAGAAATTTTATGAAAATAATAATAATAATTAAATAAAAAATTAATGAAAAAATTATAAATTTTGAAATGATTTTGCTTTATCTACCTACAGCGTTGCATAGATAATTTCAAAAATTAACCTTCTCATTAGCATTAAATAAGAATATTTTTTTCTTTTGTTAATTTTATGAAAGTCTATCCATTAATTATAATTTTTTTTTGGAACATAATATTATAAAAAAATATTTTAAAATTTTTTTAATTCTTGATTATATTTTTATTAAAATTATTATAAGTTTTTATTTTAAAATCAATTCATAAAAAAAGAATCAACTATATTTTTTTTAAGCATAAAATTTATGCAAAAAAAACATTTAAAAAATTAATTAAATAAAAAATTGTAATTAAAAAATTATAAAATAACTTTATTATGTCGGATTTGTAGCATAAAACGGTAGAAAAAAAAGTGAGAACAATTACTAAGATAATAACCTGTTAAGTAAAGTTGGGCCACATTGAGAAATCCATTGCCTTTGAAGAAAGAATCTAATAGGCGTTCATCATATCCAAGTCCAACAAAATTAAAGTTATTTTTCTCTCACTCTAAGTCTCAGGTAGGCTGATTGGACTTTTTAATTAGTTCCAAATGCTTACAGCTTAAGCTAGCCCAATCTATTTTTGAGAAACCAATTAACTAATTTTTTTTTAAATTAATCATTTAGTATTTATATTTTTAATTTTTTTATGATTTATTTTTTTTATTTATTTGATTTTTTATTTAAAAAATATAAAAAGATTGATGAGAAAAATGATATTTTTAAAATAAAATAATATTAAATTAATATGATCAACACTAGTTAAAAGCTTAAATAATTAGGTTTTAAAACACAGAAAAATATAATTAATTCTTCTCCTTTAGCCATGAACAAGATGCACTATAAATAAAATTTAAATTATTTTTATCTAAATGTCAAGTACATTTTGTAATTATGAGCATCATTAAAATGCTGTACAATTAAATTATTTGATTTAAAATTTATAGATTTTTTTTTCATTATTTTAAATTTGAGTTACTTATCTAAACATTGGCATTTTATTAATATCTACAGTCAAAACTCACCACATATATTATTATGAGTAAATGTAGTCTATACAACTTAATAAGTTACATATTTATGTTCAACTTTTTTTTAATAGTTTAATTCGAAGGTGGTCACTCGTGGTTTAAATATGTTATGTATGGAAATTTTGTAATGCTACATTAATATTTATATGAGTAAATTATAAATTAGTAGTTTTAATTTTTTGAAATGAATTAAATAGTTTTTTTATTTCAAAAAATAATTAATTAGTCTTTTGATCTATGATTAATTTAATATTAATTTATTAAAACAAATCCTCTTTCCACATTACTTTTTCCATATTTTTTCCCTATTTCATAAAAAAAATTTTAAAAAATTATTAAGTTATAAATAGACTTAAAAATATAGGAACTAATTAGTTAATTTTGGAAACTAATTTAATTAGTTTCGAAAAACTAGAGAGACGAATATATAATTTACTTATATTTATATATGCATAGCATGAAATATTATTATTATTATTATTGTCCTAATTATTTCTTTAGAGTTGAAGCATATCAATTAACGCTACCTAAAGAATAACAGAACTAGACCTGACCACCAATTGACTGACTTCTCTTCAAATCTTTGCTTAATATACAAGACTATATTTATTATTAGAAAGAAAAACACAACCCTCAAATATCTAATCCAACGGCCATCGTTCCCAAAAATCACGACCAACAAATTCTAATCGGACCGTCATAAGTCCCTTCAATAGCATCATCGTATTAACAAAATTCCACAGAATACCCTTTTAAAAATTACGGAAATCCCCTTAACATCTTCCTCTCTCTAAAATTAACTCACGCACTTCCTCCTCGACGAGGCCCAGATCTAAAATTCTCTTATAATAAAGAGAGAGCTCCCCCCAAAAAAATAAAAATAAATAAATAAAAACAGAAAGCCTCTCTCTCGATCCAGCTCTCCGCTTTCTTTTCTAACTCTCTTTCTCTGTCTTTTTAAAACACAAACGATTCTACACTCTCACTCAAATTCAAATACTCTTTTGTAAATTTCAGATGCTATTCCGTTTCTTTTGATCAGATCTAGAGGTAAATTTTCTTCAATCTCATTTTCTAATCCGAATAATTCATCCTTATTAGATCTAATATTTTTAGGTTTTTCGATTCCTTAGTGTGATCTCTTCATTTCGTAATCAGATCTAACTCAATTTCTCTATTTTATGATTACAATATCTCTTGAATTTTTATAGATCTGTTTTCATTTGATTTGATGAAATAGTGAGCGGATTATTATTATTTTTTTATCCTATGGGTTTGGTGAGTATGGTGATGACGATTGGTGTGTGATTTATTTGATTGATTGATCCGTGATTTGCTTTTGTTGTTGTTGATGCGCATGATAGTAGTGTTTTTGGTGGATTGAAGAAGATGTTGACCAAGTTTGAGACCAAGAGCAATAGAGTGAAGGGGCTGAGTTTCCACAGTAAGAGACCGTGGATCCTCGCTAGTCTTCACAGTGGTGTGATCCAGCTATGGGACTATCGTATGGGCACTCTCATTGATCGCTTTGATGAGCATGATGGTCCTGTTCGTGGTGTTCATTTCCACAAATCTCAGCCTCTTTTTGTCTCTGGAGGTACTCATTGTCTCTTATTTTATGCAATGCCACTGTGGTTTTTAAGTGATTGGTCTAGCAATGTGTCCGATTCAGTAGGTTTTGTGGGTTTTGATTGAATTTACATTAGATCTGTTTCTTGTTTGATAGAATTATTGTACTTTGTTTTGTCACCTTATTCGATGGACTTAAGATCCGGGTACTAGATTCAGGATTTTTTCGATCAGATGAGGGATGTAATTTTTATGTGCTGATGTACTATATTGTTGGATCCTATATTAGAAAAATTGTGGGCATTGATATTTATATGAACGTTTTCCCTTATCTTCTCTGCCCTGTCTCCCCACAATGATATATGTTGATTCTGTTTGAATGTTAGTAGATGTCACTCTTAAAAACCTATCATTCTAGATTCAAGTAGGATTACCTCCCTGTCCTGTGTTACAATGAAAAAGAGACCTTCATGTTTTTTTGTTTGCATTCTTAAGAAGGATAACTACGTCTATAAATTGATGAACAGGTGATGATTACAAGATTAAAGTCTGGAACTACAAATTGCATAGGTGTCTGTTTACACTCCTTGGACATCTTGATTATATTCGTACCGTGCAGTTTCATCATGAATACCCATGGATCGTGAGTGCTAGTGATGATCAGACCATCCGCATTTGGAATTGGCAGTCTCGTACTTGCATTTCAGTGTTGACAGGACACAATCATTATGTGATGTGTGCTTCATTCCACCCTAAAGAAGATCTTGTTGTATCAGCATCTCTAGATCAAACCGTTCGTGTTTGGGATATAGGTGCACTGAGGAAAAAGACAGTGTCCCCTGCTGATGACATCCTGAGGTTGACTCAGATGAACACTGATCTTTTTGGCGGAGTTGATGCAGTTGTTAAGTATGTTTTGGAAGGCCATGACCGAGGAGTCAACTGGGCTGCCTTCCACCCAACACTTCCTTTGATTGTCTCAGGAGCAGATGATCGCCAAGTGAAGTTGTGGCGCATGAATGGTAAGTTATTAACCACCAATTATTGCCTTTTGGCTCACATTGAGATTTATTATCTATGCCATGGTTATCAAGCATCTATGTCAATTGACTACACAGTTTTCTTGTTGTTTTTGGATAGAGGATTTGCAGTTATATTTTATTCCTGAGAGCTGAAATTGTGACCTCCTGGCATCCCCTATTTCTTTCTGTGTATTTGTTGCTTGGGATAATTCATGAAATGAGATTTTTTGCTGTCTTTTTTTCAGATACAAAGGCTTGGGAAGTGGACACATTAAGAGGACACATGAACAATGTGTCATGTGTTATGTTCCATGCCAAACAGGATATAATTGTATCTAATTCAGAGGATAAAAGCATTCGTGTCTGGGATGTAACTAAAAGAACTGGAGTTCAAACTTTCCGTCGAGAACATGACCGATTCTGGATCCTTGCATCTCATCCTGAGATGAATCTTCTTGCTGCAGGTCACGACAGTGGCATGATTGTCTTTAAGTTAGAGAGAGAAAGGCCTGCTTTTGCTGTGAGTGGTGATTCTTTGTTCTATGCTAAAGATCGCTTTTTACGGTTTTTTGAGTTTTCAACTCAAAGAGATACACAAGTAATTCCCATCCGACGACCTGGTACCACAAGCCTGAATCAAAGTCCAAGAACTCTTTCATACAGTCCTACAGAAAATGCTGTCCTTATCTGCTCGGATGTGGATGGAGGATCTTATGAGTTGTATGTCATACCTAGGGACAGCATTGCCAGGGGTGATGCTGTGCCAGAGGCAAAGAGAGGTGCTGGTGGATCTGCTGTCTTTGTGGCTCGGAATAGGTTTTCTGTGCTTGACAAGAGCAGCAATCAAGTCCTAGTTAAGAACCTCAAGAATGAAGTTGTCAAAAAGAGTGGTCTTCCTATCACTGCAGATGCTATATTCTATGCTGGGACAGGTAACTTGCTTTGCAGGGCAGAGGATAGGGTGGTCATATTTGATCTCCAGCAGAGGCTTGTTCTTGGGGAGCTGCAGACGCCTTTTGTCAAATATGTTGTTTGGTCCAATGACATGGAAAGTGTTGCCTTGCTAAGCAAACATGCCATCATCATTGCCAGCAAGAAGCTTGTGCACCAGTGCACTCTCCATGAAACAATCCGTGTAAAGAGTGGAGCCTGGGATGATAATGGTGTTTTCATTTACACGACTTTGAATCATATCAAATACTGCCTGCCTAACGGAGATAGTGGCATAATCAGAACCCTTGATGTACCAATTTATATTACAAAGATCTCTGGAAATACGATCTTTTGCTTGGATCGTGATGGGAAGAATAGGGCTGTTGTTATTGATGCAACAGAATACATCTTCAAACTGTCTCTGCTTAAGAAGAGATATGACCATGTTATGAGCATGATAAGGAACTCGCAGCTTTGTGGTCAGGCAATGATTGCTTATTTGCAACAGAAGGGGTTCCCAGAAGTTGCCTTGCATTTTGTGAAAGATGAGAGAACCCGGTTTAATTTGGCTATAGAGAGTGGAAATATTCAGATTGCTGTTGCTTCAGCAAAGGAAATTGATGAGAAAGACCACTGGTATAGGTTGGGGGTTGAAGCTCTTCGCCAAGGAAATGCAGGTATAGTTGAATATGCCTACCAGAGGACAAAAAATTTTGAGAGGTTATCTTTCCTTTATCTCATAACTGGGAATTTGGAGAAGCTGTCCAAGATGCTTAGAATTGCTGAAGTTAAAAATGATGTCATGGGTCAATTTCACAATGCCATGTATTTGGGTGATGTCAGAGAACGTGTTAAGATCTTGGAGAATGCTGGCCATTTGCCACTTGCTTACGTTACGGCTAAGGTCCATGGGCTCAAGGATGTTGTGGAACGTCTAGCAGATGAGTTGAGAGATGATATTCCATCTTTGCCACAGGGCAAAGCACCATCCCTTCTGATGCCTCCAGCCCCTATTATGTGTGGTGGTGATTGGCCACTTCTGAGAGTCATGAAAGGTATATTTGAAGGTGGGCTGGATAATATGGGTAGAGGTGGTGCTGATGAGGACGAAGAAGCTGCTGATGGTGATTGGGGTGAGGAACTGGACATGGTCGATGTGGATGGTTTGCAAAATGGGGATGTCACAGCAATTTTGGAGGATGGGGAAGTAGCGGAAGAAAATGAAGAGGAGGAAGGAGGATGGGACCTTGAAGATTTGGAGCTACCTCCTGAGGTAGACACTCCAAGGGCTTCTGTCAGTGCCCGCTCATCAGTTTTTGTGGCTCCAACTCCTGGTATGCCTGTAAGCCAGATTTGGATTCAGAGATCTTCACTTGCTGCTGAGCATGCTGCAGCTGGCAATTTCGATACAGCTATGCGACTACTCAACAGACAACTTGGAATTAAAAACTTTGTCCCATTGAAATCCATGTTTCTTGATCTTCACTCAGGCAGCCATACCTATTTACGTGCATTTTCATCCACCCCAGTGATATCATTGGCTGTCGAACGGGGATGGAACGAGTCTGCCAGCCCTAATGTTAGGGGTCCTCCAGCTCTGGTGTTCAATTTCTCTCAATTGGAAGAGAAGCTTAAGGCTGGTTACAAAGCCACGACAGTTGGGAAATTTACCGAGGCACTTAGACTCTTCCTTAGCATTCTTCACACAATTCCTCTGATTGTTGTTGATTCGAGGAGGGAAGTTGATGAAGTCAAGGAGTTGATTATTATAGTCAAAGAGTACGTTTTGGCTCTTCAAATGGAGCTTAAGAGGAGGGACATGAAAGACAATCCAGTACGCCAACAAGAGCTTGCTGCCTACTTCACCCACTGCAATCTTCAAACTCCTCACTTAAGGCTGGCTCTTCAAAATGCAATGACTGTTTGCTTTAAGAATAAGAACCTAGCTACAGCAGCTAACTTTGCCAGGCGGCTATTGGAGACAAACCCCCCGAATGAGAACCAGGCAAGGTCTGCAAGGCAAGTTTTGGCAGCTGCAGAGAGGAATATGACAGATGCTGCTCAGCTGAACTATGATTTCAGAAATCCTTTTGTTGTATGTGGTGCAACCTATGTTCCAATTTACCGAGGACAAAAGGATGTCTCTTGTGCATATTGCGGTTCCCGATTTGTACCAAGTCAGGAAGGGAAGCTGTGTACTGTTTGTGATCTTTCAGTAGTGGGGGCAGATGCTTCAGGGCTGCTTTGTTCTCCTTCCCAGATACGATGATCAAGATGCTGAACTTGGAGCATTTTTTCAATCATTTTTCACCTAATCCTCCCAGCAGCAGGAAACATTCTCTCTCTTTGTTTCATGTTGCCGGTAAAAAGGTAAGATATACTGTAGAAGAGTTTAAGCTGATGATTTCCTTGTGCTGTCTGCTCTTTTCTGCTTTCTTTCTTTGTTTTCCTTTCTTTAGTTGATTATATTTTCAATGTAATAAACAACTTGAGAATTTTGACTTGGGCTATTCTTGTTAGTTGTTCATAGACAAGAATAGTCAAGGGCCCTTTGTTAAATTAGATAATATCCTCTTAATAGGCAGGACAAATTACATATCAGTGTATGCAGATCTCATTTGGCAAATTTGCTTATTTCTATTGTTGAATTTGGTTTTGTCATATTATGTGCTGGTCTAAAATTTCCCCCTAAATCTCTCTGGTTACATGTTAATCCATGATCATATTTGCTGCTGCTTCATTCTGTGCTTTCTGCAGAATTTTTGCTAAAACTTTGCATGGTGGCTGAATTGTTTAGAGAAATGAATTTCATTCTTGGATTGGAAGGTAATAGGTGATGATGACCGATCACCATGGAGGCATAGTTGGAACCTTGGTTTTAAATACAACCATCTATGACAAACATGATAATATAATTTTGTTTTTTTTAGTGACGGCTTTGTAAGAGGATTTCATATTACATATATTTTTGCCTTGTCATGGAAATGAGTTTTCCTATTTTTGACTGGCTAGTAACAGAGAGATCAAAATGCGTAATGGCCACCCTTTATTTTTATGAAGTAGGGGTCTTAAATTGGACATATTCTAAGCGAATATTGGGAGGGGGGTTGGTGGGTGGCAGTAACTTCTGCTTAGTGGACGTTGTGGTTTGCTGCGATTGATACAAAACGAGGTCTTTGGTTCGTTCGGTAATTTTCGTGTCCTTTGTCCAAAGGTGCGCTCGATTAATTTTTGGCTTATAAAATTGCGAATTAAATATAGTTTTAATTATTTTGGTATGTTTTTGAAAAAATCGGTAGAAAATATATGAACTAAGTTTTCAATAATTATAGTAGCATGTGAGAATATTTTTGGACAAAATTTGGTTTTCAACTGAAGTGGCAAGACAGATTAAACGCTAGTAAGGATTAAAAACATTTAGGAATTTTAAGAACATTTAGAAAAGCATTTAGGAATTTTAAAAACATTTAGAATTCCATGTGGCATTCCCTTAAAAAGAAAGAAACCCATCTTAGATCAGCAACAGCATCATGCATGGATATATTCTTTTTTTCAGAAAGAAACCCAAATAAAATCCAAAAATCCCCCAAATCTCAAACCAATTCAATTCCCTAATTCTTTTAATTTCAGAAGCCATAGTGCATGGGACAGTATGTAGCTCATCCTTAATATTTCTAAAACATGTATGGTTATTTGGACAGCAAAATAAGACAATAAATCTAGTTGCTAGAAACACTATATGTGCGTGGTCCAAAGATCATCCAAAACATCAATTAAAGAAGAATCCGTCCTCTAGTTCTATCTACTTAAAAACTAAAATAGCTGGGAAGTTCACTGTTCATTTAAACAGTGAATGAACAGTAACTTCTAGCTGTTGTACTGTTCTCTTGGTTTTCTTTATAATTTTCAAATTATTTTGTTTTAGTCCTTAAAATTTTAAAATAGAAATTTTAATCCTTAACTCATGCATTATATGACTTCTTTTTTCATTGTTTTTTTTCTTTGCTTTTTTTCATCAATTTTATTTATTTTTTTATTTGGGTGTTACAATTTTTAAAAATCAATCATCACTTTTTTCCATGCAAACTAATGATTATATAATATATATAATATGTTTTATATTTTAGTTCACCCCCTCATTTACTATTCACTCAATTTTTTTTTGTAATTTTTAAATTATTTTGTTTTAGTCCTTAAAATTTTATAATAAAAATTTTAATCCCTAGCTAATGCACTAAATGCCTTTTTTTTTTCTTTGGTTTTTTCATCAATTCATGTTCTTTTTTCATTTAATTAGGTGTTAAAAGTTTTAAAAATCAACCGTTACTTTTTTCCATACAAACTAACGATTGTGCATTTTTTGTGATTTTCTACAATGGTATTTTCATGATTTCTTTATATATATATTGGATTCATTTTCAAATTTCACACTTCATTTCTTTTTGGTCCTTTATGTTTTTAAAATATATTTTTAAATCCTTATATTTTTAAAATGAAATCTTATGTCTTTAATTTAATCCATTTTTACCTCACTTTTTTTCAAAATATATTTTTTGTTCGTCATATTTTTAAGAAACATGTTTTTGGCCTCTTATGTTTTTAAATTTTAGAACAAACACATATATCGGATTATATTTTTTTGTTGCTTAAAATTAATCTCTTAAATTTGTCGTTTATTATAAAAATTTTCATCAAATTAAATTTTGTTACAAATTTTTATTTGTTAATAAATATGCTTTATTTTTCTCTCGTGTATGAATTTTCAATATGTTTTTTTTAATAAATAATAGAATTTACGTGTTTTTTCTAAAATGAAGTGTAAAATTCATAAGATTTTATTTGTCAATGTGTTTTTTAATAAATAATTTCACACACACACATAAAATTAGTTTTGTTAGAAATTAATTATGTATCGACATATATAATACTAATTATTTGTAATTTCTTTTTAATATTGTAAAATTAATATTTTTCAATAAAACAATTGAAATATATATCATTAGTTTTGTTACAAATTAATTATGTATTTATACACATAACCCTAATTATTTCTTATTTATTCTTTTTTTATGTTCTAAAATCAATATTTTTTTAAATAAAATAATTGAAATAATGTTTAAAAAACCTTTTCAATTATTCAAATACAACTTTTTATGTTAATATTATTGATTATTTTGTTAATAAATATATATAAACTAAAATATTTTGTTCATCAAATAGATTTGATTTATATTAATTATGAGAAATCGATTTTTACTCGCACTACACTATACAAATCGTTATCTTGCATACACGAGTTGTCTAACATCAACATGGCGTGAGTATCCAACTCGTCTCGACTAAAAACAATAAAGAAAAAAACCCATATATCATTTGCTTAGTTCAAGGGGGATAATACTGGGATTTGGTGATTTGCTATGGGATTCAGAAAGAAACCTCAAAAGCAAAAATCTAATCATAGAAACAACAAATCAAAATGAACAAAGGAAGCCATCATCGGATAAAGAAGCATATCCCAAATCACAAGAAGTTTAGGCAAAGATTCCAAAACCGAAGAAAATGTCAGTCGATCCTTAGTTCGTTATCACTTCATAAATCACCACAACTAATTTCAAAAGTCTTGCTCTCTAGACAGTAGATCTGACTTCTCTACCTCTTGATCTAAGCTTTTTGTCTTCTCTTCTTGTCAAGATACAAAACTAGAGAAATCTAAAAGGGATTTAGGTTTGGGTTTTGAAATTAGAAAGTTTGGGATTTGAATCGGATTTGGGATTTTTTGGATTTTATTTGAGCAACATGTCACTTTGAATTGGAGAGAAAATTTTAATGCTAAATTACGTAAAATGTTGTGGCTTTTAATCTTTGTTATAATCTTATATGTCTCGTTACATCAGTTAAAAACGGAGTTTTATTTATAAAATTTTTTGTATATTATTATGGTTATTGAAATCTTAATTCATGCATTTTTCTTTTATTTTTTTAACGTATCAAAATAATTACAACATTCATAATTTTGTAAATCTTAATTTTTATGTCTTTTGCCAAAAAGTGCAATCATTGAGAAGGTGATAAGCAGATAATTAACAATGCTGAACGAAGTTAGTGATTAAGTACATGATTAACCATGCTGCACGAAGTTAGCATGTGGACAATATTATTTTGATCTATGAGTTCGTAAATAGTAACAAGAAAAGAAGAAAAATATGGAACGTCACCTCAACTTTCAGGGCCCCATTCAACATCACCTTTGTACTGAAGTATGTTGGAAAATTGCAACAAGATTAAGTAGAAAAGTCCGGGCCCATTTTTTGATGTCCTAATACCACCAGAGATTCTGATCCCATTTTGGGTGTAGACGTAGTGGATGATGCCAAAAGGCTAATTGATCCAAATCATTTCTTTGTTCGGACCCTGCAGGGGAGCTTACGTTGAAGTGTACAAGTTGGAGTTAGCCATTATATTTAGATGGTGATAATTTTTTTTTTTTTTTTTTAAAAAAAAACATAAATGATCCGTAGAGTTTGGATTATGTGTTTTAGTGTGTGAAGTTTGGAAATGAAGGCATGAGAAATATTTTGGCGGGATTAACTGGGTGGGGTTTTGCTGGACATGTATTTCAGCCCCTTTTGTTTCTTCTTCTAGTTGATGCAATGTTCTAAGGTATTGTTGTTTAAGGTTTAATACCATAATTTACTGCTAAATTATTGAAACTGTGATAAAATAAGACTTACATTATTTATATGAGCTATTTGAACTTTAAATTATTAATTATATATAGGTCTTTTGGTATTGAAGTTATAATGATCAAGAAGCAACATATTTGGGTCAAAAATCGGTGTGTATATATATATATATATATATATATATATATATCTTCATGATCATTATAACTTCAATACCAAAAGACTTGTATAATCTACCTATATGTTGACCAATTTAAAATATTTCTAATAAATATTACACCACATTTCGATTTAAAATGGACATTTTAAAATTTGAACAATCAAATAAATAATATGTTGTTGATTTAAAAAAATATTATAAATTGAATTAACATCAATATATAAACTATAATAACTTAAAAAAAGGGGTTGGTATCAAAGGGGCCGCAATCGCCCCTTCTCTAGAATTTTCTTTCCCTTTTCTCCTTCCCTCTCATGCATTTGTCTCCCAATTTTTTCCCATCTCTCGGCTTCAATTCCTAAGTTAATTCCTTGTTAAATTAGCTTAGGAAAACCATAAACAAAAAATTTAAGTGAAACTTAGCTA